GGCCAGTCTGCATGCATTGAACTGGAGAAGCCTAAAAGCTGCTTCAAAATGAGCAGGGAGCAGCAGGCTCAGGGAGCCCGGCTGGAGGTCGGCATGCACTGGTTTGCCGCAGCCACATGTGCTTTTGTCCAGCCATGTTTGCTTTTCTCCCTGATGCTTTCATTGTCAGGGAGGGGTCTAATGAATGACACATGAACCTCTTGACTGGCCTGGTATAACGTGGAGCCCAAATAGTAGTGAAACACTAAAAAAAAGACTGTACACCCACAGGAATTTCGTCCTATTTGGTGAGACACCTGCATCACTATGAAGAGAAAATTGTAGATCGATTTTACTCACAAATGTATGACAGCAGTTATTTTCCAACGCTGGCATTCACAAATGCTGGCACAGCAAACATTAAGGGAAAGTCACAGCAAAACAATAATTCAAAAAGCAGTGGCTAAATACAATTCATAATTTTTAGGCAAAGCTATAGCAATGCTCTTAGACTGGTGAGTTATTTTACATTGAGCTTACATAGACAAGTTAAAAAGTATTTTGAGTTTAGACTTTTGTAATTACTGAGAATTACAATGTCCCTGATATCAAAATAAGATTTTGTAACATAGGCATTTTATTCATTTGAAAAGAAAGCACTTCCTCTATCTGACGGGGCCAGTTCATTTGCCCTTGCTGGTATAAAGATGTTTGATGGAAAATCTTTTTTTAATATGTAAATTAATCAATCCTGGAAAAAACACCACATAAACCATTAGATAAAATATGCTACATTGCCCTTGAAAGCCACACAACTTCTGATGCACACTATGAACACGTTTCAGGCTGGTTTGACCAGTACTCTCCTTATAGTGTAGAAGGTACTATATTACTGTGAAAGGTATTAATAGCTGTTGAGTCCTCTGTAGCCTCTTCCCCTGTTTTGTAACAATTTGTGTCGATTAAAATATTGATTGAATCCAGTGAAATGAGTTGATGAATCTCTCTCACCTCACAGTTTGAACAGTATTATTTTAGTTTCCTTACAGCAACTTTAAAAGGCTTGTCCTATTTACCACCAGGGATGAACGTTACACCATACAGGTATTTGCAAACCAAACCCAAAATTCAGATGTTTAATTTCTCAGATGTCCTTGTTTAGCAAGATTATAAGATTTAGCAACAAAAGAATCCCCTGGGTGAGTTACTTCATACATGCTTAGGGCAAGGCTTCTGCAGCTGCAGCTGAATACTGGGCTAACCAGATCACTGGTCTGAGCTCAGAGCACAAAGCCTGTTACAGAACAGACTTCAAAAAAGACATGTAAGTTCTGGGTATTCAATTTCCATCCCTGCAGGTGAGAAGAACTGAAAACTTCAAACTGCACAGTTAAAACTGGGGAGCTTCAGAGCTCAGCCCTGAAACCCCTAGCTCTGTCCTTAGGAGTCCTGATGGAGACTTGGGTGTGCAAATGCCGATATATTTGCCATCATTTGAATGATGACTGAGCATCTCAAGCGTGAGAATACTGAATGAGGGGTAGGTTCACAGGTAACAGAAATCTGGGAATTGCCTCAGGGAAGCCACAGGGATTTGCACTACCTGCAGAGCAGGTGACAACTGCTAGCGACAAACGCACATTTCTGCGCGTGCAAGAGACTAAACTGTCTAACAGCTGCCATCCCAACCGATCCTTCAAGACTGCTAGGAGTTACGGTGTCCTTTCGCAGTGCAGCTAGCATGACGTGCACACCTCCCTCAGGTGAAAGTGCACTTTTCCAAAGGGCACTGAAAACAAATACAACAAGTGGTATTTTTAATTATGTTTCAATAGGCTGGTGCAGCTCTCCAACTCTGGAAAATACAGCACAAGTTCTATACTTTTTGGAAAACTGATTTTCACTAATATGATGTGAAAGCAGTACTAAGTGATATTAATATCCTTACTATTCTGTAAAATCAGAGTTCAAATACAGAATATATTATGTTAGCATACACATCTTTTTCTATTTTATCTACTTGTTTCAACATTAAAATTCTGAATTCTGTTTTACAGGACTTAGCTATTTTCATTCATCCCCATTGGCAACTGGATGTTTCAGTGGTTCTGATTATACTTTATGTGTGTAAACACAAGCTAAGAGCCCAAATTAAAAAAAAAAAAAGGCAATCTCCTCCTCTACAAATATAATTAGACATGTTCACTAATACTATCTGAAAACATACAAGTATAGCGAGACCTTGCCCACTTATTTTATGCTCTTGTTCTGTATTATTGTCTCTCTGTGTAGTGACACCCAGTAATATTGGCGCATGGCACCTTCTTTGAGACAGGTTGTCTTTTATAATCCAAGTTGCTGACAAAATGCCTGAAGTTGATTAATAAGATACAGGGTTCTTCTCTTGAGTTATGTCAGTGGATGTGTAACTCTAAGTATCAAACGAGATGTTTTACAAAAAAAAAAAAAAGGCAAATGCTTTACATTAATCTTATAAAACTGTACATAATAAAAAGTCTACAACATGAAAATGGCCATTAAACTGTTGTAATAGTTATGAAATGTAGTAAATATAACAATTCTAATGTTTCTCATATTTATCATATTAATCACTGTATTCATACAGTTGTGTTTGTGTATATATATATATATATTCAATGGCACTGTAAACATAGTTGTTGGAAAACACACATTAGGTCTTAACCCATTAGAAGTTATCATAGTACTTTTTCATCCAAAAAGTTAAAATGCATCAATGTAGCACTGATCTAAAAAAAAGCCTTGTAATAAAATGCACATTTTGATATTTTCTAGGATAGAAGTCAAGATGAGACATAACAGAGAATGTTCTAGATTTCAGATTGTTTTACATTTATACCTATCATGATACAAAATGTTAAACATTAATTGTAATTAAATAATACACGGTTTCTGAAACAGATTCAATTCAGAGATGCACAATGCACACAGTCTAATTTGTGTTCAACAGGAATTCCCAGGAACTTACATCTCTGAGACCTATGTGGAAAATTGAAGTTAGCTTCTCTTTAACATCAGATAGGCAACGTAAGTAAGTTTGAACATTTTTTTTTTCTCCATGCAGAACCGCGTTCAACTGGATAAAACATTATTATGTTTATGTTTCCCACTGCTGGACATTCATACAATAAACCTCGAGCATATGCTTAAGCATATGGTAATGGCATTTTTGGGGGCAGGGAAACTCACTCGCTATGTCCCTCAGTAAACCAAGTATTTCTAATTTTTTCCATGGTTAAGGCAACTATACTGATATATTAGACACACCGTATGGTTTTATGGTGCTTTCTACAACCTAAACAGTGAGAGTGAAAAGAAGCTTCAAACACGCTCTGATCTTCTCGACCACTTAGGAATTTCATCAAGCTGGTACAGAGTAAACATGGTTCATTACTGCAGATATAGGTTATTAGCTGTTCACTAGAGAAATAACGTGTGTATGGGCTTGAATTTGAAGACTAACCACTCATTTAATCAGAAAAAATAAAAATAAAAAAACCCCAAAATCAGCCAGTCAGATCATCCAGTGAACAAAACTGAGAAAAATGATAACACACGCATTTACAATTTCTGTGTTCTCAATTATTTCTACCCAATAACTTAAGCAACTCAGACCTTTGTCATCATTCCCTTTGTATCTTAGGCGGGCTTTGTCAAAGCCTGTCTTCAGACTTTGCAAGCGATGATGCTTCCTATCTGCCAATCCCAGCATGCCGTTTAATATTTTATTCTAACATATCACATAAGCTAGAGAGCCGTTAACTTTGCTTTCTGTTGGGTAAGGCTGCAGGTATAAATGACAGTGAACAGAAATGTTTGCACGGGGGCCGCAGCGCAATGCAGCTACAGCGGACAACGCCACAGGACTGCTAGTGCTGTTAAAACGCAAAGTGAGGAACTCAGGGCTGGACTGCTCCCCTTTCCAGTTACAGTGTGTTTAGAGGATGACTTGACAGTGCTTGTGGTGGTTGTGGTGTCAATCTTTTTCACAGTTGGTTTTGGTTCGTTCCTGCTTTCTGGATGGCTTTTCTTGTCCTTGAGTACATCTGAAAACATGAAAGTAAATGTGAGATTAATCACACATCTTTTAAGTAGTGGCTTTAAATTCTGTCTATCGCTGGAAAATATTCTACGCTAGTCTGAATAATTGAACTACGTATGGAGAGTGAGGGTGTTTTAGTTGCACCTAGCACCAGCTGCTTTGCTCAGCAGGTCTGCTCGGATTGACCTGCTCCACTTGTTAACGTAGACACAGCTGAAGCCAGATAACGTACATTCGCTGTTGTGTGCTTGGCCTCAGAACCTGGCTTTCTCTCGTGAAAACTGCCTTCTGTTTCACCTGCAACGGGACCAGCTCATACTTTAAGTCACAACGTTAGGATTGGCTGGTTTTGTAATATGCCCTAATGAAAGAGCAGTCAAGTTTGCTACAGGAGGAGACTGGAGAGCATGTTGACTTCACCTGAGAGTCAACTTCCTGCCTTCTTTTTGCTTTACCACTGCCTGAACTTTAAAGCAACACGTGACCCTTGATATGATGAGACAACCTGCCAAGACAGACTGCTAGCACAAGGGAATAAACAGGTGTCTCAGCCACCTTGTTCATCTACATGGGCAAGAAAAGTGGCTACAAAGAGAAAATCTTCATGTTTTGTTTCACTGTTTTTCCTAGCAGGTACAAAGATTTTTCTGTTTTTCTGTTTTGTTCTGAAAGAAGAATGGTGTGCAGCTTTTTTTTTTTTTTTGTCCCTTCAAATGCGTTTTGGGACTTTTTTAATATAAAGGAATAGATTCATAAGGAAGTGAGAAAGTGAAAGTTCTTCTTGAAAAAATTTGGATTTTTAAAATGAGATAATGACTGATAAAGGTCTCCAATTACCTTGACATTGCCAAGCTATATGTATGTGTTACTGACATCATACTGTCCTTGCACCCTTTTATTGGCATTGGGGAAAAAAAAAAAATCATCATTTCATCTGATGATGGGATGGTGATTTTACAGTTAATCTGTAAAAGTACCCAAGTGTCTGGCAAAAAACAAACGCCTACCAGGAAGAATTTACAAATTAGCAGTAATTGTTCAAGTCCGAGCTTAAAGGATTTTTTCTGTGATATTAATGAATGCAATGCATATTTGCACAGAAGCAAAAAGCACAGATTTGTAATGCAGATTAAACAACTGTCCAACCTTAAAATAAAAACTCTGAATCACAGAAGCAAGTTCTTGGCAGAAAATGGAAAGATGGAAAGTATTCCAGAAATGTAAATGCAATCTGAGATCATTGTCTGCATGTCAGTAGTTCTGAACAACCATCAATAAACTCACTTGATAATAAAAATGAGCTATTGTATTGCAAAAATACACATTGTTCTTTTGCCAGTATAAACTGTAAAAGAAATGCAATGAATTTGTCCTTCTTTATCATAATATCAATATTAATCCCAGAGGAACCCAGGACTCCTTGAACTGATTCAAGGTTGACTCTATGGAGAAGGGACGCTGGCTGCCAACGTGGACACTGAGAAAAGCCTCATGTGCCACCGCACTCCTACCGCACTCAAAAGTCACTATGGCAAAACGCAGATACCGTTCCTCTTCCGTTACAACTTGCAGTGGTGCTAACAGAAAGGAGGGGGGGAAAAGCAGGCTGTAAATGTTTAGAAGATATCAGTATTCTGAAGACACTTACAGAAAAATGGACAACCTTCACACTGTCATTACAGCAAATTAAGAATAAATCATGGAAATAGGTGCGTTCTGACACCGCCGGGACTCCTTTCCATCACTGTCATTCTCCTTTTTGACTGTGGTAAAGGCACTATTTCTCTGCTGCCTCTTATATCATCCCAGCCCGCTGACTTCAGCTCTCTGGGGCCAGCTGATTAAATTAAGACCTCAGTCAGGTAAATCTGTTCCTCTCTTTCACTTGGCCATGTCCAGTATTGTAACTTGATTGGCCTCTATAAATTGGGCAGACTAAAATGTATTAATTCATTTATTTTCTTAATATTGACTTAACCAAAAATATAAGGTAAGGCTTAATGCTATCAGAGAGGCTGTTGGTTTTTAAAAGCTTTGCTCTCAGTGACTGCTTAATGCAGTACATAACAAGCATTAAATAATCCATTAGAAAAGTCTGCCTTTATCCTTTCCAGGGGAAGGACTAAAATTTGAATTTTCTCTGTCTTTATAGCAGAGTATTTTCTGATGCTATTCATGGCCAATTCTAATTTGAGATTTAATTGTGCAAAATGGATAACTTTATTTAAAAAGTTTTTTTTTTTTGTCTTAAAAATAATTTAAAAACCAGGCCTAATCCAGTTCAAATTTTTTTCAATCCTGTATTTATTTTTTAAGCTACAAATTTCAGCATAACTATTTCATGCTTTATTCCGGTTTGCTGAGAGCTCTGGTTGCTTACTCACTCCAGGGTTTTGGCTGACAGACTCAGAGTTAAATGAGTTTTTCTCTTAAATCTTTTCCTCAGAGGCAGGGATGATTATGTTCAGTCTACTACTGACATTCAAAAGCCAAAAAATAGTGAGTGTGCTAAAAAATGTGTCAGTGTCAAGACTAGCACAGAAATGAAACTCTAGTCTCAACAAAGCAGACCCCAGACGTTCAAAACCCATGAATCAAGCCTCTGAATCATGACTTCCTAAAAACAAACAAACCCCGCAACTTTGGCCTGTTCTAGTATTTACCTTTTGGGTTTTCAGGCTTTATGGTTCTCAGTTAAAAGCTTTCTCCATTGCTAGAAATGTTCCTCCCATAATCATTCCTCTCCCTTTTGCAGAAAAGAGTAGACTTCAGCTAACCTTAGGCTGATACATATAACGACCTCTGGATGCTGGTATATGAATGTTATTCTATGCTGTTTATTATCTGGTGTGATATATTCATTATTCCAGTATACTCTTCTACTTCTATTGAAAAGAGCTGTGAAATTCTGTATAGCGATGGTGAAATAGCCACTGTAATAGCTACTGTGCTCCTCCCTTATCCAGGATCCCCCTGTGAATATTCAAGTCCTGCCAAAAGGGATACTTGGGGTGGAAAGGAGCTGACTGCCGATGCATTCATGGGGTACAGCCTTGGGGGACCCTTGCTAAGCACTAGGTTTGCCTCGGTCAGTGAAGCTGGCTCCCCCGGGCAAACCCTTCTGCCCCAGGTTTATTGCCAGTGCAAAGTGCAGTTCAGCTGGTCCGGAGGATTCAGTCCACTTCCTTAGCTGAACTTTCACTCCTGTTAACTGCTGTGCCAAATTCACATCTTGACAATATAAACAAAGCACATAACGAAAATTACTTGACCTCGATGTTTAGAGCATTTAGGATTTCTTCACCTCAGAGATCTAACCGCAGACTGCCACCCAGTAACGCGTGTGCCGCTCGGATGGCACTGAGCTTCTCATAAATACTTGCGTGGATCAATACCATCCTTCAGAGAGACTAGCTAGGGTAAATGGAGAGTCAAACCTGTCATTGCCACCTAATTTAGGGACAGGAAACCTCCCCTCTGGTGAGGGCTGAGCAAACCTTGTGAACGCTTTTGGTGTTGAGTCACACATTAAAGCATACCTTAATCTTAGATAACAACGGTACAGGAGAAAAGCAACGTGGTCACTATTTTTTAGGTTATTGTCAGGTTATCTGGCACAAATTCAAGCTATATTGGCATCCCAGCTGTTAGCTCACCCTCCCTAGCCTAAATGTTTCACAGTTTGCTACCCTGGTACTGGTAGGGACGAACAAAGATTGATTTTTTTCCTGGTGTATGTACATGTTATTGCTTTCTAATGAACATAATCGGCGAGGTCTACTTAAACATCTGCTGAGGCTTTCTATTGTCTCGCCAGGGGATGAACAAGCTAATTTGCTTGACACAAAAACCCCTTTCCAATTTTGCCCTTCTCTTGACCTGACTTGAGCTCAGTCCTTTCTCTGCGATGGCAAATGACCAGTGCGATAGTCTCTCCCTACAAAGACTTGCATGTGGTGATGAGCTCTCCTTATCTCCTGGCAGAACAAATGCACAATAATGCTGGCAGAGAAGAAGGGCAAATGCAAAGGCTCCCCAGATAGGCTACCACTGGTGCCAATGGTGATCCACCATGGATTGTCACATCAGACAACTGTACCAGCCCTGTGAGGGGATTTTGAGTAAAAATAAAATAGAGAGATTTGCCTGACTAGTCCTATAAATTTTAATTACATGGGCCTAGTTTCTAGTGGAGTGGGGCGCTGACACCGAATTCATGATCAAACCCACAACAGAGCAGAGATTTTTAACAAGTTTCCAAGGGTTTTACACCATGAGCTTCCAGGGAGAACTTTTAACCCAGGCATTCTTGGGGTGACTGGTTATTTCTACTTTCTGGCATGGATTATACGAACCTGTCCGTTTCTCCCTGACCTTTCATGCAAACACTGTTTCGAATTGCCAAAATTTCAGCATCTATGCTAGTAAATTAATGGCTTGGTCTTAATGCCTCACCATGGTTGTACTGACAGTCAGGTAATGCAGATCTAAAGTGAATTGATCAGTACCTGCATTTACCCTCCATGTTGCAGCTCAGCTGCTTGATAAGTTTCACTTTAGTCATAGGCTTGGTTTTGGCTGACAGCCTTGTGAGAAAATTAAGGCAAGGTGCAACTTGGTAGAACAGGCTCTTAAATTACAGTAGATGCCGCAGTGTTATTATTAGCTTTTTATCACCTCTGGTAGCAAAAGGTGAAATTACTTTTGCATATTCAAAGGAAGGAGCTCTGAAACTGCAAAACAATGCTGTTGCCATGAAATGTACTAACCATTTCCAAATAATCTATTATGCTGACATTGAGACCCGTGCTAATTATCTCCAGTTATAGCTGCAGCAGGCAAGTAGAAATAGGAATGCTGGGGAAACAGGAACGTGAGAACTCTCAACATGTGACGAATGTGTGATGCAATTCTCAAAATTGTGGTGTCTGTTATTGTCCGCTATACCATATTTATTAGTCAGAAAAAGGCAGGTTTAATATAATCCTCCTGGAGCTCCCACAA